CTCACCCGGTCCAGGTACTGGGGGAGGAGATCAGCCACCAGCTGAGCCGTGTTCTCGCTCACCTCTGACGGCTTCACCACCACAGCATTGCCTACAGGACAGACACAGCACGGCCCCTGAGCCCTCACCCTCCTCTCCCCCACCACCCACCCACAGCCCCACAAAGGACAGGCCCCACCTGCTGCGATGGCTCCGATCAGAGGATGCATGACCAGGACAAAGGGGTAGTTCCAGGCCCCGATGATCAGCACCACTCCCAGCGGCTCAAAGTTGATGTAGGCCTCGTCCCGCATCGTCATCAGGTTCTTCTTCACAGGCTGAGGGGCTGCCCAGGACGGCAGCTTCTCCATGGTCAGGGCCAGCTCCGCCAGCACGCCCAGGATCTCATGGCTGTACGCGTTGGGCCCACCCTGCAGTGACAGGGAGCTTGGGGAGGGGACGGCAAAGGCACCCACCTCCCACACCCACCGTGGGGACAAAAGACAAATTCTGCTGGTTCAAAGTCTCTGACACTGGCAGTGCTGCCCCAAAGGATCCCTGGAGAACACATTCAGTCTGGGGGGTGTGAGACAGAAGCCAAAACTTCACAGCCAGGGCCTGCCTTTGCAGTCCTGCCTTAGACCACCTCCTTCATAGAAATGGTGGCAGCAGACCTTGGCAGGCCACAGTGGGAGCCAGGGACATGGGGGACAAGAGCAAAAGCCACCTGGCACAGCAAAGGCAACCCTTGGCCTTCCTACTTTGCCTTCCGGGCTGACTGCTGTCCATGCAGGGCTCATGGTAGAAACTCCCTGACCCAGACCTTGTGCAGATCCGCATGGAGGGCTGCCAGGATCTCCTTCTCCTTCTCCTTCACCATCCGCTCCAGGGCCTTCAGCTGCTGTATCCTGAACTCCAGCGAGCGGCTCCGGCCAGAGTTGAAGGCGGCTCTCGCCTGCCTCACGACCTTCTCAATCCTCTCCATGGCTGCTCAGGGCTGCAGAGATACACAGCAACACCCAGCTCACCACAGGGTCATTGAGGGTGCTCAGCCCTGGGAACATTTAATGTGGGGTCACCACCATGAGATGTCCCACCCAGAGCAAGGCTGGGAGATGTTCTCCTCCTTGGAGGGGAGCTCCTGCCCCCAAGTCGACTGCTCAGGGCCCACACTCTCCAAGCCCTGTTCTACTTGGCAGGGTCCAACACACAGCACCTCTCACAGCAATCTGGGGATGGCTGATGGATCCTGCTCTGTGGCTACTTTCTCCCAGATTGAGGATACCCTCAAACCCACCAGCCACTCCACCCTCCACTGACAGGGTGCTCCCCAAGGAACCAAAACACTGGGATGACCGTGGCCTGGGTAGGCAGCCGGTTGGAAGCAGAGTTTTGTGCCCGGAGCCCGTCTGCACTCGGCTTCCCCATAACTCCAAGGCCCTCCCATGTCTTTGCAAAACATGACAAAACAAAAGGTTTCATCCTGCTTCCCAGGAGCAGCACTTTTTAGTCAGGATCTGCCTGCATCCCTGCCCAGCCAAATAAGATATCAAGGTTCCCCGACAACAATTAAAATCTGCCCTTCCCAGCCTGCTGCCACAGCCGCCTCACACAGCCCCAGTCCTGTCCAAGAAAGCAAATGACTCGTTAAAAAACGAAGGAAAAGAGAAAGTTACCTTCAGAGAAGCTTCTCTCTCCACCAGTGTCCCGCAGAGAGTGCAAGCTGGCACAAGCCCTGCCCCTGCCATGGCTCGGAGCAATCCCTCCTCCCACGAGCGGGCAGCTGGCCCGGGCCCAGGGCTCTTGCTAGATACAAGATGCCCTTTACCCAGTTCTGTCCTCAGCTGTGAACACACAAGCCCTGGATCTTCCCGTCCAGCCGGGGCAGTGACTCAGGGATTGCGAGAGACCACGTGCCTTTGCCCACATTGGGCACACGAGGCCGGGGAAGCACCTTCCACATGCCACAGCTGCTGTTGGGAGCCAACACATGCAGACATGGGATCTGAACAAACCCCAACCAGCAGGCCATGCCTGCAGATGGGAGGCGATCCAGGGATGGATTTGTGCAGGAGAAGCAGCCCAGCTCCTCCACAACCCCCCAGCCCCAGCTCACCCCACACCTTCCCTGGCTCCAGGCACCTCTTCAGTGCCTGCCAGAGCTCTGGGGGACCCTTCCCCATGAGCAGAGAGATCACATGTCCCCCTGAACCAGGGCAGAGACACCTCACAAAACATGTGTGACATTTGGCCAAGCCATGGCCAGAGCTGGGAGTGGCAGAGGATGAGCAGGATTCCTCAGGAGACTCCAGGGACTTACCACACTCAGTTTATTACTTAAATTCTCAGTGTTTATTTAGTACTTGCAAAATATATCATCAAAAAGGCTTAGCACATGGATTTTCACCAGCCACAAAGAAATCCTACTTATTGCACAGTAAATATGACTTTCTACTCTATATTAATTGCATTTAGTAATAATTTTTTAATTTGCCTTATTTTGACATTAATATTTCCAAGGCTCTTTTACATTCAATTCCTTCAGCATCCTCCTCCCAAGCTCGAACAAGTCCCACATTATGCCCCATTGCAAGATTACAGCAGCCCCAGAAGCTCAAACACGAAGGAGCACACACTCTTTCAATAATTGTTTTCCCTTGGAGCAATCTGACCAGGAACAGCTTTGTACTGGCTTTGGCTGGGGTGGAGTTCACTTTCATCATAGTCATTAAGTTTCTTCATAGTAGGATGGTGCTGTTTTGGATTTGTGACATTGGCAGTGATGGCATTTGTCTTCCCAAGTCACCATCAGGTGTGATGACGCCCTGCTTTCCCCAGGATGGCTGAACACCTGCCTGACAAGGGGAATTAATTAACAGATTCCTCAATTTGCTTTAATTTGCCTGCATTCCCAGCTTTCACTTCACCTACTAAACTATCTTTCTCTCAACCTACAAGTTTTCTCACTTTCACTCCTCTGATTGTCTTTCCCATCCCACTGGGAATAAGGGAGCAGCTGCACAGAGCTGAGCTAACCCACAAGGTATTTTGTCATTCCCACTTCTCCAAACAGGCCTGAAAGTTCTTTTGCACGAGTGTAAGATGCTCATCAGCACAATACAGGCAGTGCAGGTACCACTTTTGTAATTTTCTAACAGTTAATAATTGTTACAGCCATATGGTGAAACCCAGAGCCCCAAAAGGGCACCAGCCTGCATTCCCTGACCAGCTGTGGATGATTCCAATTTGCACAGATCCATGAATATTTCACCTCAAATGTCATGGGGAACCTCACTGGGTTCATTCACAACCATCACTCTTGGTCAAATGCATCAGCCAGCATGGCCTGTCTCAGACTTGTCACCAAGAGGGAGGGTGTTCAGAGCACAACAGGAGACAGCCCATCCCAAAAACTGCAGGGAAAACACTGTCAACCCAAGGACTGCTGAAACTGAAGCTCCTGTTGGTCACTGAAGGAAGGTAAGTGGTTTGGTGTGCCCCTCAAGCAGCACTCTGCATGGCATGGGGTGGAGATAGGGACTGGAATTTCTTGTTCTGCAGTCCTCCTTCGGAGAGCTTGTCCCCTCTGGTCCCTCTGTTCCAGCATGGCTTTTTAGCCAACAGGAGTCTGAGCCTTCTTGTTGTTAGTGCCTCTCTAAGGCTACTCTGTGTGCTCGACAGCTCACTGAAATCACCCAGAACAAAAGAAAATAATGACTTCCCAGCTTAAGGAAACAGACACAAAGCAAGCACCCAGAGTACGGCTGGCACACGAGGCCTTCTCCTCTTCATCAGTAAACCACCTGCGAGAGCAAAACAACACCAAGGTCCTGTGAAGGATTTGTGAGACAAAACCAATTCCCTTTCTAGAACAGCCTGAAGCAAAGCCTCTTCACTCGGTGACTCCCCCAGGGCGCAGCTCGCCTGCCTCTTGCCCCTCAGCATGCACTGCATGGTTATCTTGGATGAGCTCCATGCACTGCCAGAGAAAGCGTCATGCTCTGGCTCTTGAGGAGCTTTCTCCAAGCCCCACGTTCACCACTCTACAAAGCTCTCCCCGATCTCAAACTAGGTCTACACACAGGAGAAGAAAAAGGCTCCTACCTCACTGTGACAGCCACAGCAGTGCTCTGAAACCTGCTCCTCCTTACCACCCGCTGGGCCAGCCCAGCCTCTGCACAGCCAGCACAACCAAGAGGGCTTTTCTCTTCAGCACAGACTGGTGGTTCTGAGAAACCCAAATGATTTCGAGACACCGTGAGTTTCCCCCCTCATTCACCTAGACAGGGCCTGCCCCCCTGGCTGGTGCCTCAAAGCCTGAGCCAATTCTTTGGCTTTTGCACCTCCTCCTGGAATATGTGGGCAGGTTACTTTCCTGGCTTGTTGGGCTTCTGCACCTCTCCTCACAGCAGTAACAACACAGACTGAAGGACACAGTCCTGATCCACCCTGCCACCTCCTGTCCCCTTGGGCTGCTCCCTTAAGCTCACTAAACCCCACAGATGCACAGCTGAGCCTTGTGAGGAGCAGCCAGTGAAGGCACCGCAGTACCTGGTTTGTCAAGACACAGAGAACCAACAGTGATCATGCTTGGGAGATTTAGATCTTGCTCCTCCACCTCTGCCTCCTGCAGAGAGGGGAGGACATCCCACCCTTCCGCACTACCCAGCTGGAAACAAGGGAGGAAATGGAAATAATTGAGCTGAGGTCAGACAGGGGCTGAAACTGGACAAGGATGAAGAGCTTGTTGTAGACCCAGGCTTTGGGACACAGCTTCCTTTCCCAGGGTGCCATGGCACAAACTGCAGCTCTCAGGGCTGTGGAGCAGCTCAAACACTGCTGAAGGAAATCCTGGAGTTCAAACCATTCCTAACCTGTCCAGAACTACTAACCTCTGCCTCTGGAGGGAGCATCCCACGGGTGTCACCTACCAGAGCAGTGCAACAAGTAGTACAGCAGCCCGGGAGATCTCTCTGGGGACATTCCTATTCTACAGACTGCTGGTAAGAGTGAGAAGCAGATCTTGGTAATTTGAGGTGGGACAGATAAAAAAAGTCTCAAGAGAGAAAAGGAGACCAGACTCTAAGAAAGGGCTGCAGTTTGCAAAGACTGAACTTGCAGAAGATGAAGTGAATTGCACATGCACCCACTTACACCCAAAGAGACCCAAAACTCACCTTCATCATCACCGCTGCCACCACCCCCAGCAGGGCCAGGACAGCCAGTCCAATTCGGCCCCTATTAAACCGCTTCAGGAGGATGAACTTGGTCCAATCCACCTTCTTCTGGCTGACAGGTGGGTATCGCATTTTGTTGGTGCCCTCCATCTTCAGGTCCTTGATCAAGCAGGCGCGGCGGTGGGAGAAGGTCTCGAAGCTGTGCTTGCCATGGTAGGCGCCCATCCCACTGTGACCTGAGGGACACAAGCCAGGCAGGTCACCCCGCAGGCACAGCCTGGTCAAACCCTTGGCCACTTGAGGACAACTGACCCTTCCTCCCCGCAGCACTTCTCAGTCTCTAAGATGTCCACCTGTGCTCCACCCTGCTCCTTCCCCACCTCGTTTTCACTACGCACTCTCCAGTATTTTGTTGTGGTCCCTGTGCCTCTGAGCTGTCTCCAGCTCTTCCCTGGATTTAGCTCCCTCTCAAAGCACCGTGCCAGGGCTCTGGGATCCGACTGGTGCTGTGTGAGATGGTTTCCTGAGGAGCTTTGCAGGGTACACCTCTGTGTTCCCATTCCGGGTCAGCACGTGCTGTTCATGCTGGTTCACTGCCTGTAACCCCCAAAACCTTCTTCTGCAAAGCTTCCATGGACTGATCCATAACCTGTTCCAATTCTCCCCAAGCTAAAGTCCTACCCCTTCCACCTGCTAACCACTGCTAATCCCTCCGATTGCAGCTAATGTTTTTAATGTACCTTTCACATCAGTCTGCACTAAATGCTTTAATCTTTCCAAAAATACACCTAAAGGTTTTTCCCCTTTCTGTCCCCTGCCCTAATGCACTCCCAGAATTTGTTATTATTATCAAGATCTGATGCACAGAGACCCCTGGACTGCAACAGGCACAGGGGTACCATGGGTTGCTCCCTGGGTCACACAGTGTGGCAAGTCCCAATGCTTAAGAAGCTGCAGTAACTTACCAACACCACCAAAGGGCAAGGTTGAGAGGAAGAAATGCATAATGACATCATTTCCAGTCACACCCCCACTGGAGGTTTCTGAGATGACTCTTTTGATTAACTAGCAAAAGAAAACAAACAAATCATTACAAAAGCCCAGAAGAGATCAGGCCACATAACTGAGGATACTGGGAAGGGAGTCACAAGACAACAGGTCATCATGTTCATTTTCTCTGGCACAGCCCAGACCCACCTTCTTGTTGTTGGAGAAGACATACAAGGCAAGGGGCTTCTCCCGACGGTTGATGAACTCAATGGCTTCCTCTACGCTCTTCACGGTCACAATGGGCAGGACAGGTCCAAAGATTTCCTCCTCCATCACCTTGGAATCCGGGGAAACGTCCGTCAGGATGGTCGGTGCTGCAGCAAACGGGGGAACAGGACAACAGTGTCAGCAGGACAGAAGACCTGGTCCATCACAGGACCTCACTGCACTGTCTGTGTGCAACATAACCCAAGCAAGGCACACACACAGACCCCAAAGGGCACCCACTACCACCTCCCCTCCCCAGCAGCAGCCACAAGCACCTATGAAGCAGGAGGCCTCATCACTCTCTCCCCCGTGAGCGATCTTCTGCCCTTCCAGCAAGCCCACGACCCTCTTGAAGTGACGCTTGTTGACGATCCTTTCGTAATCCGGAGACGACTTCACGTCCTCCCCATAGAATTCCTGACAAAGGGCACAGCAGAAACAAAGTGCTCAACACACCTGCCAACAGCCACAGCTCCAGGAACTCAGACCTGCGCTGCAATGGGGACAACTCCCACAGCATCAGGGACTCCCCTCCTTACCAGCAGAGTTGCCTTGATGTTCTCCACCACCTGGCTCTGGATGGATGGGTCACAGAGGATGTAGTCTGGGGCGATGCAGGTTTGCCCACAGTTCATGTACTTCCCCCATGTTATTCGCCTGCAGGGGAAAGGGAGGTGGTTTCTCCACTGTCAGCCCCTTCCACATCCCACAGCCCAGCTGACAGCACCTGAGCTGGGGACACTGGACCAGAGACGG